ACTACTACAACTACTACTACACTACTACTACTACTACTACTACTACTACTACTACTACTACTACTACTACTACTACTACTACTACTACTACTACTACGACTGCTACTGCTACTACTGCTGCTACTACTGCTGCTGCTGCTTCTACGGTACCATTACTTCTGCACGGTTATTGCGAAGGCCTGACGGCCGGTGCCGCCGACCCTGTTCGCAATGCGCAGCAAGAGATTACGAGGTTGCTCAAGGTCGGCTTGGCTGGAGCCCAGGGGAAGAGGAGTCCCAGGGGGGGGCGTCGTATCTGACCCGGGGGGGGTCGCTACCCCCCCCCCCCTCCCGGCGGGGGAGGGATCAAAGGGAAGGGGCTTCCCTTCGACTCAATTACGAGGTTGCTCAAGGTCGGCTTGGCTGGAGCCCAGGGGAAGAGGAGTCCCAGGGGGGGGCGTCGTATCTGACCCGGGGGGGGGTCGACCCCCCCCCCCCCTCCCGGCGGGGGAGGGATCAAAGGGAAGGGGCTTCCCTTCGACTCAATTACGAGGTTGCTCAAGGTCGGCTTGGCTGGAGCTCCAGCCCAGGGGAAGAGGAGTCCCAGGGGGGGGCGTCGTATCTGACCCGGGGGGGGGTCGACAGGGATCCCCCCCCCCCCCCTCCCGGCGGGGGAGGGATCAAAGGGAAGGGGCTTCCCTTCGACTCAATTACGAGGTTGCTCAAGGTCGGCTTGGCTGGAGCCCAGGGGAAGAGGAGTCCCAGGGGGGGGCGTCGTATCTGACCCGGGGGGGGGGTCGCTACCCCCCCCCCCCTCCCGGCGGGGGAGGGATCAAAGGGAAGGGGCTTCCCTTCGACTCAATTACGAGGTTGCTCAAGGTCGGCTTGGCTGGAGCCCAGGGGAAGAGGTCTCCCAGGGAAAGGGAAGGACAGAGACGACGAGTACAAAGAATGACGGAGATGACGGCTCGAACGGAAAAGCCCCTCACACACGCCGACAGGGTCGGCGGATTTCAAGCTGCGAGTGGAGACACTTTGGCCTCTCATGGTGTTCGTCGTCGTCTCCATGCTGATCGCCTGTTTTATGTCGGTTCCGTTTGTGCGGGGCTAGCTTTGGCGATCCGTCACTAGTAGCTTAAGGCTTCGTTTGCCTTTTTCCATTTAAAAATATTGGAGGAAAAAAGCCGAAGGCAGGCCTTCTCAGAAGGCGGCTGGGCTGCTCAGAACCCTCGCACCTTCGGTGTGTGTGTGTGTGTCCCCGGAGCAGGCTCAGACGACTGCTCAGAAGGCCACGGAGGCCTCCCGAGCCTCCTAAGAAGGCCCGCCACTTGGGGCCTTCTGTTGCCTTCTGGGGTTCCCCGACAGTGATGATGATTCTGCTGCTGATGATGATGATGCTGCTGATGATGATAGTGATGATGATGACGATGATGCTGATGTTGATGGTGGCGGTGATGGTGGTGATGATGATGGTGATGATGACGGTGATGGTGATGTGATGATGCGGATGATGGTGATGTGATGATGCGGATGATGATGTTGAGGATGATGATGCGGATGATGATGTTGATGATGATGATGATGATGATGATGATGATGATGATGATGATGATGATGATGATGATGATGATGATGATGATGATGATGATGATGATGATGATGATGGTGGTGGGCTCGCCGCCCAAAGGCGCGGCCCAAGAAGGCGAGGCGCAGGCGGCTCCGCCCTGGCGCCTCGGCGGAGAGCGCGCAGGACGCCGGCGGCGCCGCTGCGGCGTCCGAGGTGCGGGGCGCGGCGGAGGACCGCGGCCGCGCGCGCGCGCCCCATGCGGCCTGCCGCCCGACAGCCGCCCGCGGGCGGGAGCCGGCGGAAGTGCAGAGGGCGCCCCCGAGAGATGGCACGGGCACAGTCAAGACATACTTTGGGAGCACCGGCCAATTCAGAGCCCCGAGTCATCAGGGGTAATTCGGGTCAGGGATAGCTCGGGTTCGTTTTTTCGGGAATCCAAGCCGAGTTACCCCGGACCCGAGTTACCCCGGATACTCGGGCGTCCAGAGCCCCGAATCATCAGGGATAACTCGGGTCAGGGCTAACTCGGGATCCTTTTTCGGGAATCCAAACCCGAGTTACCCCCGACCCGAGTTACCCCGGATAACTCGGGCGCCCAACCAATTTCGTTGGCTATGCGCCCCGATGCACTCAGTGTGACGCAGTTGGTTTGCATGTGTTTTTGGAAGGTGCCTCTCGAGCCTCTCTTCGGACTGCGGGGGTGCAAAAAGGCACCCCCGAGAGATGCCACGGGTACAGTCAAGTCGGGCCTGTCCCCCTGCAGGGGGATGTACGACGAAAAATGAGTCAAAAGAAAATCAAGAAATAGTATAAAAATAGTCTGGGCATTTTTTTAGTATTTTTTGACCTTCTTGGGGTATTTCTGGGGTATCTTTTGTTTTTCGTCGAAAATCCCCCTGTAGGGGGACACGCCCGACATGAGGGTCCAGTCAAGACGCTGAAATAAGGAACTGTTTGGGTTCGGAAGGGGCTCGATGTTCCCAGGGCCAAGAAGGGGCTTCGTTTCTCATTTAGCGTTCCTTTTTTTGTCAGCGGTCCGACTGTACAGTGGGGGCGCGCACCAAGAAACCATTTGCTTTTCGTCAAGCTGCCCTGGGCTTCCCGCGGCCGGCAGAGAGGCTGCTGCGTTTTATGGGTGCTCCAGGTTTCCCCTAAGGTGCACCTCGCGCGCGGGCTTTCAGGGTTGGGCTTCTTGCGGCCGCGCCCGCACTGGTACATCTGCTCAGACAGGGGGCCACATGCGAGCGATGGGCCGTGTCCTCCTTTGGCCGTGGGCCTCGCCATGGGCGGCCAGCGCTGGCCGACGTGTCGTCTGCGCCCCCTTGCGCGAGGCCCGATCTCGCCTCCGGCTCTGGCCCCAGCTCCGGCCCCTGGCCCCGGCCTTGCCCCCGGCCCCAAAGGACCCCCACCTCCCCTCCTCCTCCTCCTCCTCCTCCTCCTCCTCCTCCTCCTCCTCCTCCTCCTCCTCCTTGGTATAGAATCTATGAGCGTCTCAAGAGATCCCCGCCACAACACAGATGGAGAGAACGAAGAGGAGTTATCGGTTCTTTGATACTTACCCTTTGGGAAGCTTAAGCTGGCTGGGACCCTGTGACGGCTACATTATGGACAGACCCTCGAGGAGATGATTGGGAAATGAAACCAGAAGCTGCTGATAAGAATCCTGCCGCCATCATCGACGCCATTGTCGCCGATATCGAGGCACAATTCTGGAAAGCTGCAGCACGGGGGTATAATGCTAAAGGAATGGAGAATGGGATCGACGTTTCAGATGCGATAAGGACTTTGAAAAGACTGAGGAGTTCCAACCGACTGCCCGAAACAAATGCCCTGTTGACGGCCATGACTGCGGGCACTTGGACCCCAGCGAGAAAGGCAGACCTCTTTGGCGAGGAGCATGCAGGCAATGGCTTGTGTGCATGTGGCAAAAAAGCAGACGACTTCCATCGTATCTGGGAAGATTGCAGTGCCCGTCCTGAGCACCCAGACTTCGAGAAGTCACAGACGCTGCTTGCCATGGCCGAGGCAGGCCAACACACATACCCGTGCATGTGGTTGAGAGGGATCCCGCCAAGAAGTTGGACTACGCCACCAGAGTGCGACACAGAATACAAGGAGGAGCTCTTCGGCGAGGCCCTGAACATGCACCGCATTGTCGCCACGGACGGGCCCATGACGGTCTGCGGAGACGGCAGCGGAGGGGAGAACGCTGATGACGAGAGATATAGGCGATGCGGCTGGGCGTGGGTGGCACTGAACACGTCCAATCCGTCGACGCCTGAAGTCAGAGGAGGAGGCCATGGCCCACTGGCGGGATCCAAGCAGACGAACAACCGCGCCGAGATCACGGCGCTCCTGGCCGCCCTCCGCCACACGGCTGGGCCGATCGACTTCTGGACAGACTCGGAGGTGCTCTTCAAGGGCTGGCACCGTGGCCGCCATCTCAGCCCAGGAGGGTGGAGTGTGCACGGCGACCTGTGGGAGCAGCTCGCCAGTGCGCTCCAGGAGCGCGGCCCAGGCGAGGTGCAGGTACATTTCATGCACAGCCACCAGTCGGCCGCGGAGGCCGAGGCCAGGGGAGTCCCCGCCGCTGCGTGGAGGGGAAACGAACTAGCAGACGATCTTGCAGGGAGAGCGGCAGATGAGCATAGCATCCCAGAAGCACGTTTGAGTTGTTATAAATGGGCCGTCGCCACAGGTTGTTTGATTAGAAGACGCATTTTAAGAGCCATTCTTTTTGCTTTTGAGAATGAAGTGTCGGGCCCCACGGTGAGGCAGGTACGAAGGGCTCAGCATAGATCTAAGCCCAACGCCCTCGCCCAAGCCCAAGCCAAGACCTCACACATTTTAACTGATATGAAATCTAGGTGGTCCTGTAATTGTTGCAACACGTCGCTCAGTAAGATAGCCAGTAGCAAAGATTTAGATGTTTGGTTGACCTCCGAGTGCCTTGGACCCCCTCTTGAGCTGCCCAGACAAGCCCAAGCCCAGCAATTGGCCATGGGAACGAGAGTTGGTCACCCGCCCCACTGCCTTGCGTATTTTGAACCATACTGGGTTTGTACGGCATGCGGGTGTAGAGCTCTAAGAGGGAGAGGACATCTGAGAGGCCTTGCGGAGGAGTGTAAGTGTCAGAGCGGTCAGCCCCCCACCAAGATGGGGGCCTGGGTGATTTCACGTGTGATGGAGGGCCGCCCTCTCGGATAGGGCGGCCTCGGGGGGGCGCCAAACGGGGCCCCGTCCCCCCTGCTGCGCCTGCTAGGTGGGTGCTGGCCCTGGTGGCTCCACCGAGCACGTGCGGCAGGGGTGGCGGGCTTCCCCGCTTCGCGTCCTCGTTCTCGGCGAGGCCATCTTGCCGTTCTGACCCTGTCAGATTGGGAAAGTCCTGGAAAGTCCTTGCTCCGACAGGGGGCCACATGCGAGCGAAGGGAACCCCACCTCCCCTCCTGTAGAG